TGCCACCATGGTTTGGCTACTGGATGGTGTCTGTAATTTATCTGTGGAGAGGGTCTGGGTTTGGGTCTGGTGTGGTTGATTGGTGATGGCGTTCTGTGTGCCTCTGGATCTGGTGTCGGTTTTTGTGGGGAGGGCTAATTTCCAGATGTCTGGCAGGCGGGATGTGTCGTCACGCTTGTTCATGTTGTGAGGGTGTTTCTCTATCTCGATGGCTTCCATGATTATTCTCTTGTGGTGATGTTCCATGTTAGAGAGCAATTTGGAATCTGCAAAATTAATTTCGTGTCCTGTTTCTTTCATGTGTTGGAAAAGAGAGGAAGTTTTTTCTTCTTTTTTGACGGCATTCTTGTGTTCTGCGATACGTGCATTTATTCGTCTGTTTGTTTGTCCAATGTACGTGGCTGGGCAGACTTTGCAGGGTATTTCATAGACCCCTTGGTTTTCCAACTGGATTTTATCCTTGGGGTTTCTGAGGATATTGGCTATTTTTTGGTTGGTGCAAAAGGCTGTTTTGATATTGTGTTTATGGAGGATTTTGCTAATTTTATCTGTAGTGCCCTTGATATAAGGAAGGAGGGCCATGCCATTGTTTTCTTCTGTGTCTTGGTTTTTGGGGGGTGTTTCTTTTTGCATTAGCTTCGTAACCCTGTTTTGCTGGTATCCATTGGCGATTAACACATTGGAGAGATTCTGTAACTCAGTTGTCAAGTGGTCTTTGTCAGCCAGGCGTTTGGTTCTGGAGATGAGAGTCTTGGCTACGGAGTTTATTTGTGCAGGGTGGTGGTGTGATTGTGCATGTAAGTAGCGGTTGGTGTGTGTTTTTTTCCGGTAGATAGTGTGTCCTAGGGAGCCATCAGGTTTTTTGTAGATTAGGACGTCAAGGAAGGGAAGTTGGTTGTTGGCTTCTATTTCCATAGTGAATTGTATTTTGGGGTGTAGGCTGTTGAGATGTGTGAGGAAGCTATCTAGTTTTTCCTTCCCGTGTGGCCAAATTACAAAGGTGTCGTCAACATATCTGAGCCAAAGTTTGGGTTTGTGTTCTGACTTGTCTAAAGCATTGGTTTCAAAGTGTTCCATGTACAGGTTTGCGATGACCGGTGAGAGTGGTGATCCCATAGGTGCTCCTTCTATCTGTTTGTATCTTTGTCCATTGTGGATGAAGTACGTGTTCGTTAGGCAGTGGTTGGTAAGGTCCAGGATGTATTCGGGGGGATTGTATTTGTTTTGAATGGCTGTCAAGGCTTCATTAATGGGCACTTGTGTGAAGAGAGATACAACATCGAAGCTCACAAGTAGGTCATTGGGATGTAGGTTTTGCTTCTTTATTGTTTCTATGAACTGGAAGGAGTTTGTAACGTGTGAAGGGATGGATTCTGCATAGGGCTGAAGTTGCTTAGCGAGAAATTTAGCGAGATTTTGTAGAGGTGAGCCTATGGAGCTGACTATTGGTCTGAGTGGTGTTCCTTCTTTGTGTATCTTGGGGAGGCCGTAGAGTTTGGGGCATCTGGATGATTTTTCTCTGGGGATGATTCTTAGCTGGATTTCTTCACTGATAGGAGAGGCTTTTATTTTGGATTTGGTGGTTTTTTCCAGATAGGTGGTGGGATCTGTTTTTATAGGTTGGTAGGTAGGGTCTTGGAGTAGATTTGATAGTTTTGCTTGGTAGTCCGATGTGTTCATCACAACAGTGGCATTACCTTTGTCTGCTGGGAGAATGATTATGTTGTTGTCTTTCCTCAGGTTGGTGAGTGCTTTCTGTTCTTCTTTGTGTAAATTGCTTCTGGGTGGTTTGCTGGAGCAGAGGATGTTGGTGACTTCAAGTCTGATTTTATTGGCTTCATCTGGGTTGATTTTGGTTAGGCTAGCTTCGACTCCGCATATGATGTTTTCCGTGGGGATGCGTCTCGGGGCGACTGCAAAGTTGAAACCTTTGGAGAGTACTTTGGTTTCAGTTGAGGTGAGGATCCTGTCTGATATGTTATGTACTGTTTGTTTCATGGGTTGTTGTGGAGGGTGGCTGGGCTTCTGGCGTTTCTCTAGTTTGTGGAGTTTGTTGGTGTGTGTGTCTGTCTTATGTGAGGTCTCAGTTTCAGCTCTCCAGATGGCTAGTTGTTTGCATTTGTCCCAGAGTGCAGGGTGGATTTTGTTACAGAGTTTGAGGTGAAGAGTGAGCAGATCTTTGTTGGTTTGGTTTAGTAGGTATCTTTTCTTATGTAGTTCGTTTCTGATTAGGGATAGTTCAGTTCGTTTCAGGATCCTTTCGGTAGCTGGGGTTTTAGAGTGGAATTTAAGTTGGAAGCATGTGGGAATTAAGTTGTTGTCTCGGCAGTTGCGTAGGAACAAGAGATCACATAAGATGGTGGCTCTTCGGATTTCTAGTTTCTCGTAGGTTCTTGTCAGCTGGAAGGTTTCCTCCCCGTAGAGGTGAGATATTTGCTTTCGTAGATTTTCACGGGTACAGGAATGCAGGTTTTGGTGTCCTCGGGTGTCTTCCCGTGTAAAAGTTGGGGTGTCTAGGCGACGTTTCGACGAGGTCTCACTCGTCATCTTCAGGCTGGTGCTTTCGGCTTCTTGTTACTGGAACAGAGCAGGATCTCAGTGTTTGAGTTCCTATAAATACTGTTGAGGGGGTGTGGTGTATAGCCTCCAATGTTCTGGGCAGAGAGGAAGTTCCCAGGCTAGTGTGCCTTTTCTTCTTTTGTTCCTTAATTACTTGAGGGATATCTTGAGTGATTTCTTGAGTGATATCCTGAGTACCACTTAGGTGGGTCATTAGGTGTGGATTAGTTGCTAAAGCCTTCGTGTCTTGACCTCTTGAACTTTGTGAAGAGTTTTTCTGAGAAGATACAGTTTTCTGAGTTTTTCTCAGAAAACCCAACTTTTACACGGGAAGACACCCGAGGACACCAAAACCTGCATTCCTGTACCCGTGAAAATCTACGAAAGCATATATATATATATATATTTGTTCTGTTATTTATTCATAACACTTATTTATAAAACAGTTTTGGGGAAATGAGCAAGAAAGTACAAAGCTCAAGGCTCTTCATGTGACCCAAGGCAAGTCAGAGCCCTTTCATATCTTCAATATGGAGATAATGGTATTGATATACTTTATGATATTCTTGTAAGAATTTCTGGAGTTCATGTACATGAAGCAACTTAAAGTTATTTCTTAAAAATTATACCGTGCAAAGCATTATATAATCTAATGACCAGAATTTTCACTGTTTGCTAAATTTACTGGTTAGAAAGCAGTTTTTAGCCTGTCATCAGATTTCAGCTTGGGGGGCAGGAGGGAGAGACAGCCCTGAGCCTTGGCAGAACGAAGTCATTGTAATAAATTGTATTTGAATGCTAATTACCGCAGCTGAATGGCAGCTCCCATGTCTTTGCAAAAGATAGCTTTTCCTGGAAGGCTACAAATGGTTTGCCAAGATATATTTATGTTTTTGTTTGCTTTGAGTTGTCATGAACTCTTCCCCCTTATTTTAGATAGTGTGGAACTATAGCATCATCTGCTCATGAGAGTTGTAACAATTGCTATGCCATCTGTGCAACATAAGATGCATAAGGGTTGCATTGTAGGCATTCTGTTGAAGTAAATGTGCTGGCCGGGATGGGCATTCCAGACACAAAGGTCAAACCTTTTATCTCTCAAAGCACTTATGAACTTTCACTACACACATTAAATAAGAGTGGAGCTGACTTTAAAGTGCACATGTACAAATTGGGCTAAAAAGGTTTAGTTTGCTACTTCTCTGTGTGAAACGCTTTCTCCTAGAGCTTGGTCCATCTCATTATGCCTGGCAGGGATGGGGAACATATTTTCCTATAGAGGGTATATTTTCTAAGGGACAATCTGTTGAGGGCTGCATGCCAATGGTATAGGAACCATTACCAGTGCTATGTTTCTAGAAAAAGAGGTGCCAGAACTCACCATGAACCCACTTGAGAGTTCCACCAAGTTCCAGCTGAAAAAAGCCCTGATGGTACCCATATGAACTTACCTGGACCCCATGATCATCATCTGAGGCCCTTCTTTATGTGCCTCCTCCATGAGAGGTCTGGAGGACAGTAACACAAGAATGGGCCTTTTCTGTGGTGGCTCCACGTTTGTGGGTTGCTCTCTCCAAAAAAGCTTTAGGCGCCAGGCAAAACCTTTCCTCTTCTCCCAGGTCTTTGGCTAATTAAACAATCTATGGCCTTTTAAACTGTGTATGTTTTGTTTGTTTGTTACTATGATATACATTTTTGTGTTATAATATTGTAAACCGTCCAGTGATCCTCAAATGAAGGTGGTATAGAAATTTAATTTTTTTTAAAGGGTGGGTGAGACGGCCAACCATTCTCTCTCAATATAGCTCCCTCTTTTTTTATCTCTCTTCATGTTGTGAAATGACAGATTGCTCTTCGACTAATGATTTCCCTGGAGCACTTTCCCTATCTCCTCTTTCCATCATTCCAACCTTTTGGCCTACTTCCCATTTCTGCTAGAGTCCTCCTTATCCCTCACACACACTGCATGAAATTAAGCTGAGAACCACAAGCTCTCCACACCTGGCCTCAGTAAAATAGTACAAGGTTGACTGCTGTGAAAGGATTAAAATACAGTAAGAAGCAAGTCACAGGCCTCAGTGTTTGATGAAATAAAAAATGTCCACAAAACCTTTCCACAAAACAACATTGTCCATTCCACATACTTAGAACTTGCTCAATTGTCATTTCATAGCTAGGAACTGCAGTTTTGTAAGAGGACTGAGGTGTCTCCAACACATAATTCCCAGAACTCTCACCTAACTATCGTCCTTAGGATTCCTTTGGAAAAGCCATTACAATTAAAGTGGCTTAAAAGCAAGTAAGTTATTGGATACGCAGCCAAATTTCATCGAGAAGCTCTTTTAAAAAACGAAAAGGTAGAAAGACAGGTTCATAAATTGCCTAGGAAACCCTTTTTAAGACCATCAAAAGAGGGGGAAAGGTTTCCTGAAACCACCTACCCATTTTGCTCTTTACTGTCACCCTGGTTCTCTCTGAATCCTCTTCGCTGTCCCTCTGCCACCTCCTGGGCATTGTCGTTGAAAGAGGTGTTCAAGGATGCATTGTGTGTGGGCTGCCATGGGGTATTAACTGCAGGTTTAGCAGCGCTCAGCTCAGGTGAACGCTGGTCAGCGTTAGACTTGGCGTTAGCATGCAGTCCGGAGGCGGTGAATGCAGTGGGAGGCGTGACATTGGCCAGTGGTGTAGGGGAAGCATGTGATGAAAAACTTGCATGAGCTGGAGTGAAGGCAGATGATGGCGATGGAATGGACGTGATCTTGGAAGCTGACATAGACCCAAAGGGTCTTGGGGCCTTATTGAAGGCTATGTTGGCTGTGGATGAAACTTTGGGCACGACTGCGGACGGAATGGGCACAGGCTTAACTAGTTCCTTAGGCTCTACCTATGTGAAATAAAAACAACAACACAAAAATACACAAGAAAGCCACATGGACACACACGCGCACATACAAATGGCATGCAAAATATAAGTGTCATCTGTTGCTGTTTCATCTTGAAACACAAACTGATGACCAATGAAGGATTGCCCATTACATAGCTTTACCCACAAAGCACTAGTGCTAATCACACACGTGGCATGCACTATTGAGGAGAAAAAGTTGAACACGCATGAGCTGGGAACTGACCAAAAATATTCATAATTGACTGGGCTCGAGTGCTAAGAGATAAAGGAGACTCACCCAGTGCAAGAAAGTAGTGGAAGATGCAAAGCCCAACATAAATACCTTCATTTTTCGGCCAGTATTGAATAACCATTTTGCTATTTTCTAATGTGACCAAGGGAGTTCTGGGCTTGTGTTTCTTGAATTACCATCTGCCCGTGAATCACTGCCAACCTCTTTTTGATTCAAGGTGATTTTTCACAAGCAGTTTGCTATATCACATGGGGCTGTGCTGCTCAAAGTGTGTGCAGGGTTGTGTGTGTTAAAAAGTTCTCTTAAACACATCCAAGGTCCTAACATTTTTTAAAATAGTTCACTGTGCTGTATAGCCTTCATTTACACACTTCTAGGGAAAAAGTCAGAAAAGGGCACCCAGAATTATAAAGGGAACGGCTCAACTGTTTTCCTAGAAGTTTGTAAAAGAAGGCTATACAGTAGGAGGAACGTTTACAACATTTGTGGCTTTTCAATTTAGAGAAAAGCCAAGTGAGAGGGCACATGACAGAGGTGAATGGAAGTATCCATGGAGAAAGTAGACAGAAATTCTCTCTCTCTCTCTCTCTCCCCCCCGCCCTCTCTCTCCCTCTCTCTCTCTCTCTCTCTCTCTCTCTCTCATTGGGATACACAATGAAGCTGAATGTTGCAAGATTCTGGACAGATGAAAGAAAATACTTCCTCCCACAGTGCATAGCTGAATTATGAGATTCACTCCCAGAAGAGGTGGAGATGGCTACCAACTTGCATGTCTTTGAAAGAGGATTAGATAGATTCAAGGAGGATACGGATATTAACAGCTACTAGCCACAATAGTTCTGCCAGTACTGTCAGAGGAAGTATGCCTGCGAATACCAGTTGTTGGGAATTGCAAGCAGGGCTGCTTTAGAGCTCAGGTTCTGATGGCAGGATTCTCATGGGCATCTGGTTGGTCACTGTGAAAACAACTAGATGGGTCTTTGATCTAGCAGGGCTCTTCTTACCAATAAGACAGAAATTGCTGGCTGCACTACTCCTTGGGTTGTTTAATTAAAAGGCAAATTTGCATATTTGTTCTGAAAAGGGAATCTCAATATGAGGCATGAAGCACCTACCATTTCCACATTTAAGGTAAAGGTAAAGGGACCCCTCACCATTAGGTCCAGTCGTGGCCGACTCTGGGGTTGCGGCACTCATCTCGCTTTATTGGCCGAGGGAACCAGTGTACAGCTTCTGGGTCATGTGGCCAGCATGACTAGCTGCTTCTGGCGAACCAGAGCAGCACACAGAAACGCTGTTTACCTTCCTGCTGGAGCGGTACCTATTTATCTACTTGCACTTTGACGTGCTTTCAAACTGCTGGGTTGGCAGGAGCAGGGACCGAGCAATGGGAGCTCACCCCGTCGCAGGGATTCAAACCGCCGACCTTCTGATCGGCAAGTCCTAGGCTCTGTGGTTTAACCCACAGAGTTATTCAGCTAGTCATGAAACTCAGGTCTAATAAAGTGAGATGGAATCAGACAGAAAAGGAGAATTCAACTACTAAAAAAGACAGGGACAACCTTAGGTCACCTATCACAAGTATGTCCCTTTCAAGAAGCTATGTTTTCTGCCTTTCCAGAGTTCTTTTTAGCTACTGTATGAACTGTGACTTAACATCCAGGCCCCCTGTATTTTGGAGACTGAAGTCATAGCAGTCTGTGAGGAAGATATAGCAAATGTATCCTCAGTAAAAAACAAAAAACACAGCTGCACACTCAGTTCTTATTACAAAGACACATGGACTCCATAATCTCCCAGAAGGCTTTGTACATGGTTAAGTACATTCTAGAGGTAAGAGAACAATGGACTAGGTAGTGTATGCATGATGTTAACATAGTTTGGTCCTGATTGAAACAGGTATTTCCTTGGTATTGTTGCTTCTGTGCCCAGCTTTGAACTCCTGTATTATCCTAGTGCATAAGTGGCTATGGCCTGCATAGCATACCCAGTCATCCTCAAAATGAATGCAAAGATAGGGCTTTACAGATCAAGATAAACATCTTGAAACACCATTTTTGTTGCATTGGAAGAGCTCTTCAATTAATACATGTTAAGAGAAGGATTTCAAGGAGTTAATTGGTTACAGTGATACGCCCCTGGATTTGAAGTGGAGGACTTACCTGTTGCACAGGTATGGGATCAGGTTTCGGAGCAGAAGGTGCTCTGAAAGAAAGAAAAAAGAACAGGCCATGTAAATTCTAAAGAAACCTACCACACGTAGTTCAATAATCTTCTAAATCACTATATAGCCTCTAACAGCACAATCCAATCAAAAGCTAAGCAGTTGGGAACCCACTGATTTAAGCAATGCTTAATTCAAATCAGTGGTATTTGTCAATGGACCCACAGAGCTTTACACAGTGTATTAGTTTTCTTAGAATCCAAAGTCTTATTTCAAACCACAAGAAATCAGTTGCTTAACTTAGTGTTTGAATAGCAAAGCATTTGCATCCCAAAGTTGCAAGAATGACTTCCGAGTATATTGGATGCATTTGAAACTGAAACATTTCCATGCTTAAATTATGACACAGCACCACACTCCAATGGGTTAGCCAACAGAAACCACTCAGTTCACAGTCTGTAAGGTGGTTGTGGCAGATACAGGAAAAACACATGTATTCTATCATCCAGTTATAGTCAACAGGTTGGGCTTCCCATTGGATACTGGTGTACCATGTACAGGTATACATTTTGCCACTGAACTGCAAGTAAAGAAAAACCCAAGGAGAATTTAGAGATTCCCAGAAAGGCAAAACACTTAGGAAAATCAGTGACTGAATGGGAGGAATCTGATATGGTTAGAAACAATTTCAGAGGGGTCTCACTCTTCCCTACTGGATCCATACTAATTAACACTAAGAACAAATAAGACTTTGGCTGGATCTAGATACATTCGAAGAGGTGTTTCAGTTAAATGCATTGTAAACTTTGTATGAGAAATCAGGCTGGTAAAAACGGAACTCAACAGCGCTATCTGGTGTCACGGTGTTATCATGTATATACAAGGCATATAAAGCGCTTTTTCTTTGCCAGTGTAGCTGAGTCCTTTGAGAAGCAGGTTTGTTCTCCTGTTTCAGAGACCATCCAGTGGGAACATCCAATGAAACATGACTACATGGCCCCCAAAATAAACATTTGGATAAATCAGTGTTAACATGCAATTACAAAGTAGTCAGTTTATAGAAATACAATGAAGAAATGGCCATGGTTCAGTGGTAAAACACATGCAGAAGGTCCCAGGTCCAATCTCTGGTAGGGCTGGGACAGTCCCTGTCAAACCATGAAGAGCTGCTGCCATTTAGGAATATGCTAGAAGGGCCAGTGTGGTTCTGTATTAAACAGCTTCCTAAGTACATAGAAGCAAAACTTAAACAAAGGCAAAGCTTCAACTATAGCTGTAGCTAATGAAAATGGTTGCTTTCTCCGTAGTTGTACATATAAAATGAAAAAAACATGTATTGTTCCCATATTTGCTTTCATCAGGTCTGGCACAATGGAGTGGAGGAAATCAAACTACAGCGTCTAGAGTTTCAACTAGAATCTTAAATCTTGACTCTCCTGTTCCAGAAAAAAATCTTTTCTGCATGCAAATGGAACACTTCAAATTACCATGTTTATATTTGATGTCATCCTTACAACATAAATATCCAAAGATATGGTCCAGGCCCCTATGGCTGCAGTGCCTGTATGCAGAGGGGTTGCCAGAGTATTAAATAAAGGCTTATTGCCCCCCCCCCAGCACACACAACATACTGGGCAATTATGGGGATTAGGAGCCCCTCCCTCTTTGAGTTTGAGTAACTTGTCCTGAGGGGCATGCAGACGTCACAATCCCAATATGAAACAAATCTCCCACAGACATGCAAGAGAGGTTTGCTTCAATCCATTTCTATCCCAGCTATTTGCACATACCAGTTTTGTTTATTAAAAAAGCAGCATTTCTATGGCTCTGCAGCTGAACCTAAAATGCAGGATTTGTGCAGGCAAGGCATGGCATTGAACGAATTCTGGTGATAAAATTGAATGCCTTACAGTACGTTTCTTATAAATTTGGGATTCAATTACTTACCACCACCACCCCTCCCCCTTAACACATTGTGGTTGGAAAATAACTATCTGCCCAGAGATTCCTGAAATGTTCTAACTGCTATTACTCAGTTCAGGGTATTGTGTAAGATGGAACACAGAACCATATATAAAAATCAGTTGGGTCATCAAAATACGAATGAGAAAATTGCTGTGGTTGTGAAAATTGACAAGGAGGGGAAAAATAAGGACGGGCAACACTTAATGATGGAAAATGCTTTGGCACAATAATATCCATGTATAATGTTAAGCGTGAATTCAAATGAATTGCTGATGTGTTAAAAATGAACAGACCCCATTCTACCCTGGTGTAGAAGAAATCCATGCTGCTGTGAAAAGAGTCTGACTACAAAACTACATGATTGTGGCTTCAAGTCCTTCCCACGTCATCATTGTCCTGGCTCCTGGCTGGAATGTGATGGACTAGAGAGGAGCCACATGATTTCACCTCCCCTCCATTTCCTAAACTCAGCGCAGTGCAGCATTATGCTTGCACCAACGTTAATAAAAATGGTTAGGTTTAACCAGAGTACAAGAAACGCCTCAGAACGCTGCAGTGTTAACACCGGTGCAGATGTAAAAAGAATTAGCAGAAGTAGAAACTGGGCTGTTTTTTCCCTCCTGTCTTTCACACACAGCCACTAGGACTCCCTTTAACCTCAGTTAAGAATTCTGAAATGTTATGTCTGCACAGAATCAAGGCACCTTTATGAATTACTGGGAAAGAAACCACAATATCCATTGGGAGACATTTTTCATACTTCTCATTATAATTCACTGATTACTTGATGAACATTTAAGAATTTGAAAATGTATTTAAGTGTTTCTCTACAAGCACTGAGAAATTATTCGTGTACTTTATCTTAGCAAAAAAAAGTTTAATAATAATAATAAAGCATGGTGCCATTAACAACCAACACATCACATTATATCTTTGTCCTGCCTTGGTTTGCTAGAACTCAAGGTGTGTATTGCTAGAACTCAATACACAGTGTTGCTGGTTGAGGAACTGACCAGACCGAAACCTGCTTAGCTTCAGCAAGTTGGCTGCATCATGCACTTTCAAATAGGAGGTTCACTAAGCACCAATAAATGCAGGTCTCATTGTTGTGAGAACTTATAAGACTGTTGTAGCTGGCACAACAAGGCATTCCTTACTCTTATTTTCCTGTGTGATGGGGAGGGAGATACAGTAAAATTGCTTCAAATTGTACCAGCATTCAGCACAGCCATATATGAAAAATGAGGCAATGTGTTCTTTGCTACAGGAAATCTGGACCAGCAAACTCTTCGTTCTTTACATTCTTGTTTTATTCACCTTTTCCTGCTTATTTCAGACATAAAAATAGGTTAACACAATATGAAGAGCTCTGGCAAGTTATCCAACTATCTGGAAATGTTTGTGCTTTGCCAATAACTGCATTGTTTCGGGTTATAGTAATTTCAACTGTGGGTTTTTTTAAGCAACTAAAAGAAGTGGGAAGAGGGGGGAGCCAGCTAGAGGGCAGCTATTTAGCTAAGTGAGACCTGAATTCAACTCCTCAGTAAGGCATAAAGCTTATTGAAATAGGGCAGTTGGCTCAATGCCCCCTCATCTCACATTAACTAACCTTATAGATCAGTTGCACCACTTTTAGGCTGACATTCTTTTCACCCTTCTGTAATTGCTCCAAGAATTTCACAGCAGCATATACAATAATTCATAAGCAATTACCTTAACCACACTAGCATTATTACTGTGATACAAACAGAGGTTTAGCAGTAACTGTGATGAAGTTGCATTGTCGGTTGAAGAAAATGGGTCAGCAACAGAATTTCTTTTTTTAAAAACAACATTCCACTTTGTGAGCTGAAGTGAAAGGTGTGGTTGACTAAGAACAACCATCACACGTTGCCCTAGTAGTGTCTAATATGTGTGGGCAAGGTAGGGGACACTGAAAACACAGTCCAGGTAGAGTGCAGGAAGTTAGAAGTTAAAGGACAGGAAACCAAGATGCAGGGAAACAGAGCACATACTGGATGAAAATACTAGAGCCCTTAGTCAGAGGAGATGGAGAAGACAGGTCTGAAGGAAGCTGAGGAAGAGTACAGCTGTGCAAAAGCCTAGCAGGGCTTAAAGACAAGAGAGATTGATGGAAAGAAAAGAGTGTGAGCAGACAGAGAACATGGTAAAGGAAGTGAGGTGGGGGAGACAACAGGAGATGACACTGAAAAGGAGGAACCTGGGGAAACAAGAGTGTGATGAATGCAGAAAGGAGGTGGCTGACAAAGGGGTGGGGGAGGAATAGGCCTGATGCCAATTTCTAGTTTTTAGGGTAGAAGCTGTGAGCTGACATAAAGTAAACAGATATGCAAAGGATGGACTACAGCAAACCATACAGAATGAAAGCATCTACATTATATATCTTCATACTTTCTTCTCATCACGTGGTTTTCCAAGACACTCTACCTTGTAATAGGGTAAAGAATTATCAGAACACTTTTAACTACAGATGAACAAAAATTTATTTATCTTAGCACGCTCAAAACCTTTTGATTCACACTTTTATTATCATATCGCTTCTAAATATTACACTCAAACTTCTAAATAGCTACCACACACAAACCAACACGATGCCATTAACTAGTAAAATGAAAAGCCAACATTTAAATCTGTCAAATGCATTTTGACCAAAAAAGAGAGGTCCTCTTCAGCAGCTTAAAATGATGAATTCCTTAAAATAACTGCTCGACATCTTCAAGATCTGGATGGGCAGGACCAGGCTTTCCCTGTAATGAACTCTCTCCATTTTCACAATTCCTAAAAGAAGGTATATCACTTTTAAAAATACACAAACTAATGTCCGCTTACATAGAACCATTACGGTGAATAATTCTCATCTTGTAATCTAATCTGTATGTATACCTACGTTGCTATCAAAACAGATGGAACAAGGAGAAAATGGAAAGTAACAACTAGATTAGGTAAAACTAAGCAGAAAAATATTATTACTGATTTCTGGCTAACGTGGCAGTCTGCCAGTCACAATGTTATTCTCTTTCTACATGAAAGACAAGACTCAAAACTTTTGCCACCA